GTCACGCGTGGCGGGAGGGACGCTCCGCGCGGGAAGGAAGGGAGCGGAGCCCCGCTTCTCGCGGGGAAGGGCGGGTGTGGAAATAGAGCCGTGCCGGGTGTGTCGGTGCCTTGCCCGGGAGGGACATTCCTCCTTCCAGTGCCCTTCCTCACTCCGCTCTCCCGCTGCTGGCTGCCACTGTGGCCCCTAAATGGTGGGTCCCTGTCCCCTTCTCTGTGACCGGCGGTGCTCGGCTGGGGGGAGGAGGGGTCCCTGACTTCTGGTGGCTGATGTGAGGTCGGGGGGTTCTCTTTGGCACGCTGCAAGGTGCAGTCCCATTGCAGGTCGCACACCCACCGGGGGGGCTCAGGAGTCGCTACTGAGCTCCTTTACAAAAGGGCTCCCTGTTCAATCCTTGTGCCCCCAGGCTGGGGGAGCACCAGAGCTGCTGCAGCAGGGATGTGGCTGGAGGGACACAGGCACCGCATCCCATATAACCCTTTAATCCCCTGCTCTGCCAGAAGATGCCACCATCCTTGCCTGCCACCATCAATATCCAGGAGCCCCGCTGGGACCAGAGCACCTTTCAGGGCCGGGCCAAGCACTTCTTCATGGTGACCGACCCCCGAAACCTGCTCCTCTCAGGGGCTACACTGGAGGAAGCCCGACGGGTGGTGGAGGACTACAGGTACCCACTAGGAGGATGGATGTTCCCTCAGCACTGCTCCCAGGCAGGAGCCATTCCCAGGAGTGGGAATAGCAGTGATGCTGGCCCCCTTGGCCAAAGACCCCAAAATTGCCTGCCTGGTTCTTAAGGCATCTCCCAGCTGCCACAATTGCTGTGGGGGACCAGTTAGGCCATGTGTGCTGGCAGAGGGTCATTCAACAGGTGTTACCCTTACCTGGCAGGGCAGGCACCGTACACCCTGGGCTGACAGAGGACCAACTTTGGCGGGCAAAGTACATCTATGACTCGGCTTTCCACCCTGACACGGGCGAGAAGATGATCCTTGTGGGACGCATGTCTGCTCAGGTCCCCATGAACATGACCATCACCGGTTGCATGTTGACCTTCTACAGGTACCTGTCCCCTCCTCACCCCAGGACCAAGAGCATGCCTGGAGGATCCTCCTGGCTCTGGGGTGAGGAGGGGACACGTGTCCCATACCCCACTCGTACTTGAGCTGTGGGAGCATGGGTGGCATCCCCCAGTGTCTCCAGCACCCACCCTCCTCTCTCTGGCAGGACCACACCAGCTGTGCTGTTCTGGCAGTGGGTCAACCAGTCCTTCAATGCCATTGTCAACTACACCAACCGCAGTGGGGATGCACCCATCACCCCCAGGTATGCATCTCTCTGACCAGGTCCTCGAGGTGCTGGGGGCCCACCACCCCAAAACACCAGGGGGGTGCCTTGAATAGCAGGGAACTGTGAGATGGGACAATGGAGACCTGGTGAAGGCAGAGATGGACAGCATTGGGGCTGTCAGGGTTAGTGATAGAGCTGAGAGAGGAACCCAGGTGTCCTGGTGCTCTTGAAGGGCATGCTGTTCCTTCCTTTGGAGGGGCACCTGGGATGGGGAGAGCCTGGCTTACTGGTGTCCCTTGCTCTTTCAGCCAGCTGGGGACAGCCTATGTGAGTGCAACCACAGGGGCAGTTGTCACAGCACTGGGGCTAAAATCCCTCACCAAGGTAAGGTGACCCTTGGCTATTGCAGCTGGGGGATGTGGTCCCTCCCTATGGGATCTCCCTGAGCTCTGAGCTTTGCAGGGGATTCACCTGGAGTGGGGGAGAAAATGAAGAAAAGGGGTTTGCCGAGGTTGCCCACACAAGGCAACTGCTCTCCCCAGTGATGGCTGTGGAGATGGCCTGTCCCTCCAGCCTTGCTCTGGATGTATCTCCAGGCTTCTTCCACCCCTCAGCCTCTGTCCAGGCAGGGGACCTGGGACCTCCCCAGATCCTTTGGTCTGTGCAGCTTTTACCAGCTAAGAGTTGCAGAGGAGGAGGGACTTTTTTACCCCCAGTGGGGCTGGGACACCCCAGAGTCTTGCAGGAAGACTGAGGCAGACCTGGGGACAGCCAGCTCTTCCTCCAAACCCTCTACATGACATTCTCCTACTTTTCCCCCCAGCACTTGCCAGCCATCATCGGCCGGTACGTGCCTTTTGCGGCCGTGGCAGCTGCCAACTGCATCAACATCCCGCTGATGAGGCAGAGGTGAGCCCTGGGGTGGGACAGGCTTGCCTCAGGGTTTGTAGGCACTGGTGAGGAATGCAGGGACTTCCTTGCTCTTCCTCACTGTGAGGGGTTGGCTTGAGGGTACAATCACCTGATTGCAACCTAGGGGGTTATTGGTGCTTGTACAGTCCTATTGAGGACTGCTGCCAAATAAACGTGGGTCCAGCTGAGACCCCCTATGATTTATTGTGCAGCTAGTGGATGGGGTACAGGAGGATGCCAACCTCCCTTGGAGACATGTCCCTGTCCTGTTCCACTCACCCTTGTGCCCCTCTGTTCCTGCAGAGAACTCAAGCTGGGGATCCCTGTCACGGATGAGAATGGGAACCGCCTGGGCGAATCCACAGCGGCAGCCCAGAAGGCCATTTTCCAGGTGGTGGTGTCCCGCATTGGCATGGCAGCGCCGGCCATGGGTGAGTGTCCCCTCCTCCACATGTGTTGGGAGATTGCAGCTGATCCCTGGCAGCCTGGGATGAGGTCCCACTGCTGGCAGGGATCACTGGGAGCTCATTTCCTTCCTCCCTGATTCAGCTATTCCACCGGTGATCATGAACATGCTGGAGAAGAGAGCTTTCCTGAAGGTACCAGTGAGCCTGGGGTGGGTGGGTGGGTGTAGGGACACCCAAGCTTGGCACATTGTTGGCACCCCTCAAGGCTGGCACCCTACTGGGGAATAGACACCTTCCTACCCTGTCCACTGCACTGACACACATCCTCTCCCTGTCCCTGGCAGCGGTACCCGTACCTGAACGCTCCCCTGCAGGTCGGCCTGGTGGGACTCTGGTAAGTTCTCCTCCACCGATGGGCATTGCTGCCCTGGGCACAGACCAAGCCCAAGTGTATGGAACGGTGCTGCTGGGAGCCCTGCTTGGGGGCTCAGTAGCCTCCCCTGGGAGGGGAGAGCTACTGAGTTTCTTGGGGGATGCCAGAGCTTGGCCAGGCTAGTGGCACCCCAGGCAGATGGAATGGGATATGAGGTTCTGGGGCCAGGAGTTGTTTTGCTTTACCTTGGTATCTCTCAAGCCTGCCATGGGCTCCTGCTCAGCATTGGTGTTCCCCCACATCATCGGGGGACAGACTTTGCCTGCCGCACCTCAAAAGCCAAATGCAGGGTCTGGAGCTTGGAGAGGGCATCTCATAGCCCTTTCCTGGCTGAACACCCAGCACAGCTCTGGGCTGCCTCATTGTTGCCCTGGGATCAGGCCATGGGTGGGTGTGGGTGATTTATGCAGCCCAGCTTCACCTTTTCATGTCTTTCCCTTGCAGTCTGGTGTTTGCCACCCCGTTGTGCTGTGCACTCTTCCCACAGAAAAGGTACAGAAAGGCACTTTGCCTGCACATGTGGCTTCTGTGTGGGATGGGGGTGCTGTCTGACTCGTCAGCAGTGCAGACCCAAGGGCCTCTGCTGGGCCATGCTGGGGACGTGCATCCCCATGGGTGCAGCAGGTAGTTTCCAACCCGAGGCCATCGGTGGGTACACCCCCTCCATCCTCTGCATCTCTGTTTCCCTTACAGCTCAATGCCTGTGAGCAGCCTGGAGCCTGAAGTCCAAGATCAGATCCGGAAGAAAGATCCGTGGCTGGAGACCGTCTACTTCAACAAAGGGCTCTGAGCAGGGTCCTGGGGTGGCCAAGATGTGCCCCTGGGATGGCCGAGATGAGCTCCACGGAGCTGCCGGGCCAGCGCATTGCTGAGCTTCGCCCTTTGGATCCCCTTGGGGCTGCTGCTGCTTTCCCTTGGCCATTGTGTGTCCATAGGTCCCAGGTGCTCAGCCCTGCTTCCCGGGGTGCCTGCAGCCATGCAGCACCACACCTAACCCTGTCCCCACGCCCGGCTCAGCCCTGCCCTGGGGACCGCCTGGCTGGCACCCTGGGGCACTCCTCCCCTCTGGGTGTGCCTGTAGCTCTGTGCAGTGCGCAGGGAAATGCAGGCAGCAGCACCAGGGACCTTGTGAGCTGTGGTAGAGAAAAAAAAAAAAAAAAAAAAGTGGGATGAGGAAGAAAATGGTGCTCCCCAGCTTTAGGAGGCAGCAGAGAATCAGCAATTGAAAGTAGAATAGCTCTGCAGGCACTCTACAGTGCCCAGTGGTTCAGCAGCTGGTGCCTGGGGATGGCAGAGCAGCTTTTAGAGAGGAAAACTCCCCATTGCCAAAATAGCTGGGGGTGAGTGATCAATTGCACGTAGTGACTTGAGCTCAGAGTGGGGGACTCTCCCAGCCCAGGCGTGTGCTCCCATCTCACCTTCTGCTCTCCTCTGGGCTGCTTTGGGGATTTAATCTGGCTTTCTGCTGCTTCCATCCCCAGAGCAAATGGCACATTTTAATCCCAGTAGAGTCTTGGTTTTTATTCTCATTTTAATGCCATCTGTGTTCAGGGCTGGGCTTCCCCTGAGGGGTTACTCTACCCCTTCCTGGAGTGCTTGCTTTCAGGTGGACCTTCTCAATAGCTTTAAGTGCACTGTGGTTTCCTCTAGATATTTTTGATATACATATAATGTACCTATATATACCAAACAATAAAGGCATTTTGTTTATACAAAACCAACAGCAAAGAGAAGTGTGCTGCTGTCTTATTTGAGTATGGTGGAAAGGGACTGCTATTGGGGTGAGGATGGGAACAGGAGAGAGGGGCAGGCTGGCTTTTGGGGTGTCTCTGCACCCCCTGGGGCTGGGTTCTGCTCCCTGCTTTCCAGCTGACTGCCTTTGCAGCAGCCCTGGCTGGCCTGGCATGTGGTGAAGCTTATCCAGCTGTCAGGAGGGCTTTTTTTAGTACAGTCGGCTTTGGAGCTTGCCACTGCGCAGAGAGCTTTGCTAAGCTGCTGCTCTGGATGCTGCTGGTTTGGAGAGGCCAGAGCGTCACCCTGGCTCTGCCCACACTCACACCCCCTCTTGCAGCCTGCTCACAGGACAATCCTGGGCCTGCTCCTGCGCCTTCCCTGCAGGACTATTTTTATCCCACGTTCTGTGTACAGCTATGGGAGAGCACACTGGAGGGCACATCGCAGGACCCTGACCAGCCTGCGGGCAGCAGCTGCCTGTCCCTCAGCTCTCTGTCCCACCAGGGCAGCCAGAAGCAGCCATGGATGTCCAGCCAGAGAGAGAAGGGACGGAGGCAACTGTGCTCTGCAGTGTCCCATGCTGAAGGAC